GACGAAAAGAAATAGGGTTTGTTTATGGTGGCGGCTGGTGGTGGGTTGCTGCGCAGGGGGTTAATCGAACTGGGAAAACTCACGCCTTATAAACATCACTAGCGGAGTTTGGTGTACATGATAGCAAAGCGGGAACAGCACAATCGTAGTGGTAGGCCTACTAGGACTAGTCAGGCCTACCCAGCCTACCGCTACAACTACAACACAGACAATTTGGCTTCCTCATTGCATGTATTTTGAAGAAGATTTTTTGCTGGTAGGCAGCAGTTTCACGAGGTTTCTTCCACCGGACATTGGAAGAAAGAAGACATGCAGTGTACACAAGAATAACAAAAGAAGACCCATTGACGGTTAATACCACCACCTTTTCCACGAGTTTTTAGAGAGAATGAATCTTATTACGTTTTACTACATTTTGAAGTAGGTAGAATCTTCTACCTAGAACGTGGCACGAATTACGACCAGCTCAGTTGCTACAGTGATCACACAGGAGCAAAATTTGGTAACCGATTACACCACACCCCGGCGCGAGACGCGGGTCAAGAACCAAAAGATGGTTCTGGATTCTGGTAACTTTACCCGCCAGGCGGCAAATTAGCAGGGCCTCTGCCTACACACACGCGTTGACCATGTACATGTACTATGAACGCTAACATAAAAGAGAGTGTCACATTACTCGGTCTCCCGCGGTTGAGACAGGGCGTGCGATTTCTCAAAAACTGCCGCTACTAAATTTATAAACATTGGCATAGTCTGCGCTCATATGACCTTATTATGCAGTTGCGAGCGCCATAAAACCTCTACTGAAACTAAAAATTGGCGTAGTCTGTTTTCTTGCAAACAATTTTGACACAACTCCTGCGAACGTACCTAATGTTCCGCTCATCACTCTTTCAACCAAACACGTCTGGTACAAGAAAAAAGAGGCTAGAGTACACTCCTTCCCCTTTACCCCTACTCTCCCCCTTTCCAAACTGAAAACTCTCAGTGTGCGCTCCGTCTTCGAAATGTGCGCAATGTGTTTTGTTGGATGTGAACTCAAGCAAACACACAACACCCTCTTTCATTTCTTTGTCACTCTCTCTCTAGTACAGTAACACCTCTAATCTTTGGGTACTAACAAAAAGCACAATACTCTCCTTCTTTTCTTTGTATGTCACTCTCTTGTACATTAACACCTCTAATTTTTAGGTACTTACATGACCAATTTGAGTTGCAAGTGCCGTGCGCAAAACTCTTACTAAAACTAAAAGCAAAAAAAAAAAACCCCTCTTCTGTTTCTTTCGTCTTACAATCTTCTTCATCTCTGCCTACAGGGTTCTCGTGGTCTAGAGGTTAAGGGTGTTTTCCTCTCATTCAATAGTTCCCGGGTTCGAATACGGATAGCGACGGAAAATTTTCTTCTCTAAAAATGTCTACTTTCACCTTCTTTCCTGCTCTGCGACAATGTTCTGGAGTCTACGTTCATCTCCAATGTCTGCCCCCACCCCTTCACCTCCTTTGTCCGTCTAATCTGCGCTCGTGACTCTTTCAGCAGCCTTTCTATTGCTACTCATTGGCTCTTTCTTACTGCTGTCTGTAATAGTGTTGAAAGGGACGTTAAACCTATACCATTTCACAATTTTTCACTGCTTTCTTTCAACAACACCCCTTATTTTACGGTAGGAAAGATCTACAACTAGCCATCTTGGATAAGGGCAAAAAATCTCTGAGGTCCAATGTGCAAGTTGCGCAGGTTAAAGATCCCTTGGCGGTCCAAAATCAATAAGAGTGGGCTTCCGCCGCCACCCGGGCAAAATTCAAAATTTCCTACCAACCGAAAATGCTTAATGTGTCCCGCGCACCCATATGACCTTACACAGTTGCAAGCGCCGAAAAACACAACCCCCCCCCCCCCCCCCCTCTCCACACACACACACACAAATAATCTAATTATTAAAAAAAAGAATAAAAAGAAAAAATCTGTATACTATGGAGACCCACTTAAAATATGCTTAGGTAAAAACAACAAAGAGTTACAGTTTACGAACCCCCCTCCCCCTTCCCCCAGGCATCCAACATAACCCGTCCACGACAAAGATATTGAGAATCTTTGCGCTTGGTGTGAAGCGCAAACCGTTATAAATAGCGGGCAAGACCGTTCGGATTATTATTCACTGTACATCGCCTATAGGCTATCAAGTAACGATAAATCAACTCGTATGTACATTATAATACATTTGATACCTGTAATATTATCTTTGGAAGTTTTGAAAGGCTGCCATTCTGCTCTCTGCCAGACGCTGGGTACATAATACACGTTTGGGCTGAAGCAAGGTAAATAAAGCTAGTTTCTTACTTTACTCACGTTCTTCTTTTTTTCTGTTCTTTCTTTCTTTTTTTTTTTTTTTGAATATTGTTTAGTCTATCTCGAATTTGTTTGTCTCTGTCTAGATCTAGTATGATTATTATCTCTGTCTCTGTATTCTTGATCAAACACAAAACAAGTAAATAACTTTTCAACATTTCGGTCAAATTCTTCTTTTTTGGGGCATCATATCTGTTACTTTCGTTATGCATGTACTTTTTCTTTTTTTTAATTGTAGGGGTTAAATCTTTCTTGGAAAGATGAGGGGAAAACTAGTGTGTGTTTAACGATTCTGTCACCAGACAGAGTAGTGGCACGGTATAGCGGTGTATCATTCCTATAAACACTATCATTATCAGAATGAATTATGTAGGATATCTTAAGACATGGTACCGCATTCTGCGCATATTTTCAGCTCAGCACCAACTGGGTGGGGAGTCTCGAGAATTCCCCAAACAAAGCATGTTCTAGAATGCCTATTTGGGGATTCAAACTAAGGTCTCGTTCATGGGAGCCGTGCATGATACAAACTGAACTGAACTGAACTAGTCTTGTTCATTAGAGTGAGAAATAATCGAAAGAGTGAACAATTTCAGATTACTGGCTTTCGAGAGAAGTCACTCGGCTCCTTGCTCAGGAAAAAAAAACGAACAAAAAACAAAAACAACCCCGTCCCCCAATCTATGAAACAATATGAAACAATTTAGATTTTTTTTAAAAAACGGAGTCGGGCTAGTTTGACTGCGCTCATCGATGAAAACTAAGACAGGATTTATGGTGAAAGCAAAGTTGAGATACTCTATGGTGTTAGATATTTTCACGTCGCTACCAAGCATAATATATATAGCCTATATATATATATATATATATATATATATATATATATATATATATATATATATATATATATATATATATATATATATATATATATATATATATATATATACTATTATAGTATATATTATATATCCTTTGAGACAATGGGAGAGTTCAACCATAACACCACTGAAGCCAACATACGGACTCTCAGATATTATGGAAATGCTAAAATGTACCTTTCTTTGTATAAAACTAATAGAAAGTAGATAGTCTGGGTGGGGAGTCTCGAGTACGATGAATTGTTATAATAATACTTTACAATGTGTGATACCATCGCTGTCCATATACAAAGAAAAGGAGGAGCTGTAGACATAATATGTTCAGTCAAGAGCTCATAACATTGACAGTATTTTCTACAGAAGTGATTTTTTTCTCTACACGAAGGGCGCCTGTACCACCAGGAGCAACAACAGCAAGAATAATTTGTAGTTTTTTTGTAGCCCCCACTCCCTAATCGAGCATCTATAGGCCTGATCTCCAGGTCAATGAAATTGATCGTTAAAAGCGACATTCGAGATAAAAAAAAAAGTATATACCCACATGTTTTAACACAGACAGTCAAGCACACGCACGCACGCACACACACACACACACACACACACACACACACACACACACACACACACACACACACACACACACACACACACACACACACACACACACGTTCGCACGCACGCGCACGCTCCCGCATACGCTCCCTAGATACTGTAGAACCTGTGTAAGACTTAATCGCAAGGGAGTCAGAAAAAATATTCTGTCTTAAAACAGACATTTTCCGTCTTAGAGAGGGGAATGTAGGGAGCGATGAATAGGGATTTCAGAGACCAGCCGGTAGAATCAGGGGTCGCTTGTTGGTCGGAAAGCAGTGGTCAAAACTTCACACATTTCAAGTGCTATCCTCTGTGGTAATGGAATGCGTCAATCCTACCTATCAATTGCCACCAGTGCTTGCTTTTTGATCTATTAGAAACAGAAGCGTTAGGACTTCTCTTTTGATCCCACCATTACCCCCCCCCCCAAAAAAACCCACAAAAAACCCCCCAAAAAACCCAACAACCAACAAACAAACAAAAAACAAAACAAAACAAAACAAATAAATAAATAGATACATAGATAAATAAATAAATAAATAAATAAATAAATAAATAAATATTTTTAAAAATAAAAAAACAAAAAAATCATTGTCATAAGCACAATCAACCACTGCCATCCCTCCCGCGTATGTAACAACGGTTTCAGCTCCTCTTTAAATCTCGATCAGAGCGGCAGGCATTGGCCAAACTACGTGTACCTCTAGCATCTGGCTACTCATGAAAATGTCCATGCTGGGGCGCCACTCGGGCACATTTACAGGCACTAGTGAGATTTCTTACACACACCACCCTGATAATCTTCACAGCTAAGGGCTCACATGGATGGGGTAATACTACGCCCACATTGCACCGCCACTCCCCTTTCTCGCCCGGCGGCATGGAGTATAATTTAGAACCGATGAAACAAAACTTGATAACATGTGATTTCGTTTCAAATGATGGCTGAGTGGACAAAGATGTCTCCCAAAACGAATTTCTCTTTCCGTTTCCACGTTAGACAGGTTCTTGACATGTAGAGGTAATTATAGAGGGGTTTATCAGGGGAGGGGGGGGGATTCCGTTATGACAGGATTCCGTCTTACACAGGTTTCGTTAAGACAGATTTGACTGCGCTTCCATAATAACAACGAAACCTGGAAAGTTGATGCAAAATAACGCTTCCAATCCCGGTGAGCTGGTTACTCTCCACAGCTTGAAGGACTGTCATCATAGCAGAGTAATTAATTAATTTTTATTTTTCAGGTCCAGTCTCACAATGGTGTCAGGGTACGCTCTCGTCCTTGTGGCTCTGATAACCCTCCTGCTTTTCGTACTTAACCGCAAAAAGAAAACGAACGTCCCTGGTCCGCCTTTCCTTCAAGGTCTGAAAGAATTCTCAAGGAGCGTCAAGTCGAACAAACTCCATGTCTTGGCTGCCAAGTGGGCGGACAAATATGGCGACCTCGTGTCGGTGAACGCCGTAATCAGCAAGGTCGTCTTCATCAACAGTCCCGCGCTCGCTCGTAAACTTCTCTCAGACCCTAGTACGAGAGACATCAGCAACGACAGACCTCCGACTTACCTAGGCAAAGTATTCTTAAATGGATACAAAGACATTATAACTGCCCCGCATGGGAAAGAACATAGCCAGAGGAGAAAACTCTTTCACAACGTTCTAAAGTTCTACGGTGAAGGAGTTCAGGGCTTTGAAAATCTAATGACAAACACAAGCAAACATTTGTGTGAGCGTCTGGCAAAGTACACTGGGAACACACCCCTAGTGACAGAAATCAGTGGTTACATCGGCTGGGTAGTTGGACTTTTGCTAAAGGGAAAGGACGTTGCTCAAGAAGACATTGAGTCAATGCAGAAGTATATTGGAATAGGAAATGAAGCTTTTATATTAGAAAATGAAATCTTCCTAGAATCAATTCCTTACATAGCACAGGTTCCTGGTTTCCGGCTGAATGAGCTGGTGAAAGGGTTTGAAAAGGTGGACAAAGAGATTGACGTAAGATTCCTAACATCTGTTCGAGAAACCTTCAAGAAAGGCGAAAAGACTGGCATCATAACTGATTTGTTGGAGCAACAGAACCAATTAGATAAGAAAGGGAACTTCGCTGACATGTCCGATGAAATTGTGCTCTGCCTTGTCAAGAATATCATTGCCGCAGCCAACCTTACGACAGCAGGGACTCTCAGTGCTTTAATTTTGTTGATCATCGAAAACCCCAAGATACAGGAGCGTATCTATGCAGAGATCTGTGAAGTTATCGGTGATAACCCTCCGAGTTTTGACCACAAACGTCTAATGCCTTACACGGAAGCGGTGATCCTGGAAACATTAAGATATTGTACAGTAACGCCTTTCCTTCTACCCCACTACGCCAGGGAAGACATCGACTTCAAGGGTAGTTTCATTCCTAAAGGAACCTTCCTTCTCCTGAATGCATGGTATTTCCACCGCAGAGAAGATTTGTGGGACAAGCCCTGGACCTTCAACCCCGACAGATTCCTAGACGCTAACGGCCAACTGTTGTCTACAGAACATCCAACACGCCAGAACCTTCTGGCGTTTGGAACCGGCAAACGTGCTTGCCCTGGGGAAAGTTTCGCGAGGCTCCGCATCTTTTTCATCCTGGTCACATTGGTCCAACAATTTCGTTTTCTTCCCCCTGTTGGCGCTGAGCTCCCTTCAACGAACCCGGAGAATTGGGAGACGAAATCTGTGATGGCACCGCATGACTACACATGCCGCTTGGAGCGTCGGTCTGCTGCAGAGGCTGGAATATAGAACTCATGGCGGAGAGGTGGTGGGCGGGGGAGGTTGGGATTGTTGAGGGGGTGAGGGAGAGTGGGTACTGAAATGATGGTGTTCTGCTGTCCCTACACCGAGTTGAAACGACTCACATTGGACAAGATGACATAAAAACCTATAGCAGTGACCACTATAAAATATAATGTGTATTTGAAGCCTCACGCTAGTCTTCTGCTAAAGATCTAATTCGAGGATAGGAAGGAGAAAGAACAATTATCGATTTCAAAGAGACATTTTCAAGACAGTAAAAAAAACCCAACAACCAAGCTGTTTACAAGTTTTCTTCTCGTGGAGAGTTAATAACAACATCTTTTCTTACTTTTTTTTCCACTGGCTGATTTTACTTAGTTCAGCCGTGTGGGGAGAATATTTTTATCGAGGATCTCAGACTTTCTGCTGGGACGTTGTATCCCTTTCACCGCGGGTTAGCCCCACAAGGCATGGTCGAAACTCGCCAACTCGCTTTTTGCATGATCTAATTTGTATATGTGGGGGCGTAAAAAGGCTAACATTAAATTCTATCATTTGTTTGTAAATGCCCATTTTGTAAATATGTTGCCCTTTGGAAGTCTACATCCATGATTTTCTGAACTCACGTCAACTGGCATTTCAGGAACGTTTTGGATAACAAGCCACAATAATACGCGACATGTCCCATTCTCTTTTAGGACATTTGTTCGCGCTCTGATATTATAATATGCATAACTGTCTTCGTAACTTTTGTCCATCAATTTTTATGCCATTTTAACTTCTTGATTTTATTTTGTATACAAAACCGTTTGAATTGAGAAGTTAATGTAAATATGACATTTTAATGCACAGTTATTATTATGATTATATTTTGATCGTTTAGTGCTTCAGTTTAGGTGTGACTTCAGAATGGAAGCTTTCAGTGATAAATTCAACAAATTTTGAACATTTTGCTATAATGGCAAACGTCATATCTGTTATCTATCTATCTGTTTATGTGAGTTACTACGTGATCAACACGGTATTCTTCCCCTTCCCATGGGGGGGAGGGGGGTTCGATCAAAAACAAATCCGATAAGATGTGCAACACTATATAAAATATGTTAGTCGAGCATCTTAAATTCTTCTTCATAACACTTGTCTTGCCTCATCAATTGAAATTTACTTTACTTTTCCGATCCAGCGGCCATTTGGGTTCTAGCCCTTCGCTCTGTCGATATGGCAAAGAACTTACAGGTTTTAATCAGCTCTGCTTTGTCGCTGTATAAGAGTATTTCCGATGTCTGAGAAGGCAGGTAAGTAGGTGCTACGCAGGTCGCAAAGTGCAGGGCAGTTTTAAAGAGGTGGTGTGGTACTGTTTCATCCTGGCAGTCGCACAACGGGCAGTCGGGTGGGGTATCCTTGCGGACCCTATTAAGGTAGGAATTTAGTGGGATGTGTTGTGTTGTTCGCAGGCCTCATCAAATGAAGAATACAAAGATTTAAGACACCTAAAAAATTCTCTGTACATCTGCCACCGCACTGTGCTGGAATCAAATAAATTATGTCTATCGCCTCCCCCTCCCCCCCTTTTTTTTTTTAGGTAATAGATGCAAGATCAGTGAATACAATGTGCATTGTAAGAATATACAAATCATACTGCTCGTTCTTATCGACAACACAACATAATGTAATATAATATGTTTGTACACCTAATCTTACCCATTGTGTCCCATCTGTTTTCAACCGCTGCCTTTTGGTTGCTTTTCTTGCACTTCTACTAAACAAGCGAAACCCAGATTCTCAACTACGCTCAAATACGCACGCACTAACACCAACTTACACACACACACACTCTCTTTCTCTCTCTCCCCCTCTCTCTCTCTCTCTCTCTCTCACACACACTCACACACACAGACACACACAC